TTCTATTGATTAATGCCCCAGCTGAACATGAGTTCGAGAGCTCAAGATGTTGAAGAGTGATAGTGCGATATCAGCTATACCGATGCGGCCCCCGCACTCACCGAAAATAAAGTCGGGGGCTAGGCTTCCACCAAATCCAAAAAGCATCATGACTTTCGTCCATTGTCCAATCGGGTTTCATGCGATCGATCAGGGACGATCGATGGGGTTCAAGACCCGGGAACGAGGCTGAAGCGATGGTGACTACTGGTACCCGTACGGATACCTAGTAGTCTTATTTGGCCACTCTCCCATGCTAAGGGCACCTTAATGAGGCGGCTGGCGCTCGTTGCCATAGGCTCCATCATTCCATCAGGCTAAGGTAGATCTATCAACGCGCGCCAGTCGGCTGGACCATCGCTTTGAGATGCTTTCTGCAATCAAACGTGGCGCCGTTAGCTTAAGGGGGCCATCGGACACTTTGCTCCATGTCGCGTGCAAGTCGACTTTAATTGATTTCTGCACGGTGGTTATGCGCCAGGGAGGCCAGAGCCCCTTTGATGCGCGTTTCTACGCGTAAATGACAGCGTCATAGACTTACAGACAATCTGTGAGCTCGACAATGATCTCAACATTCGTTACTATGGTGTTTGCAGTTTAGATCGCAATGATAATCGTTGATAGTGAAGAGGGATTTGTATATGAACTGAGGAAAGGGCCCTAGACATGTGGTGAGAAATTCGCAGTTCATCAACATCAATAACAACAACACCCTACAATCACAAGCCCAGTAAACGGCAAGCTTTCCCAACATCAATACACGCAGTTTTACATAACATCCCCAACAGTATCATGTCTTCCGAAGCCCCCACCGGAGATGTTCAGGACAACGAGTACGTGTCCCGCCAGGGTGACCGTGAGCCCGTTAGCGTCCTCGGCGATGATGCTAAGGTCGAGGACCCTATTGATGCTGAGACTGCCGACTCCGATGCTCAGCTAGGTAAGTCCAAATTCTACCTCAGGGAACATAGCATGAGTTCCTGACGCATTCTACAGAGCGTGATGACAAGGAGGCCATCGACAAGAGCAACATCGTGGAAGGTCGTACCCGGGGTGCTAAACCGACTGGCGAGTACCGTGAGCCTGGTGACACCGAGGGGTTGGAGGACAAGCGCCTTGAATAAATATTGCTAGCGATCACCTTTGGACTGCGCGGCGTTTGGATTAGGAGCTGTACGATTAGTGTTTGAGACAATCGATCGATAAGCTGAAGTTTATATTATGGTATCCTCCACATATACATGTGACGCTGAATCAATCGTACAGCCGAAGCTCCAATGTCAAGTTTTGTTGTCATGTTTCGAGTACTTCGAGTCAATGATCATGACTGCATTCATATTCACTCAACCACATCACGCTGTTCCAATACACGCCCTCAGCATGACTACGACCAACCACAGCTTCGAGTTATTAGGAACGTTCATATTTGGGTATTAGCTGGCAATGATAATGTGACACGAGAACAATAGTTGTAACCATGGCGGCTTCAACCATTGAAATTATCTACGGGCCAAGATCTCAATCAATCGGCCCTGAATGGCCGTGCTTTGTGCTAACCTTACGGTATCGAATAACCTCATGACCTTCCTCGTCATAAGTCCTCTCGGCCACGACCTTATAGCCACCAATAGCGGGGAAGATCTTGGTCCAGAAACCCCAGTATACACCGCCAAGAAGGAGCACGCCCACCCCAACAATTGGGAAGACGTAGTACGGGTAACCCTCTGCAGTCCACGATCCCGTGGGTGGGATGAAGGGAACGATGCAGAGGAACACGTTGGCAAGGACATAGAGGATGGTGATGGGGAAGTAGGTGTGCCAAGGTGATGTCCAGTTCTCTCTCTTGTTCCATTGGAGGTAAAGGAGACCACTGGTTGTCATGTTAGCTGATATCAATGAAGTAAATCTCCCAGGACAACTTACATCCCAACAAACGCGTTTATCCATGCGCCGGGATATCTGTTTATGTGTCAGTAAATACTTAGTTGTTACTCAACTTGAGGGACTAGACATACGTGTAAAGATCTGTAATGAAGTTGTAAGCTGGCCCTGCAGGAGGGGCGACAAGAACGATGACAGTAACGATCCAATGGAGGAAAAGCTAGTAGTGTATTAGCTTGAGAACATGTGACGCAGATTCTGGGCACGTACGGCTGCAGCCGGAGCATTGAATGGCTTGTTGGATGCCCAGAAGGTGCTGAATGGCAAGAGGCCTTCCTTTGCCAACTCTTGGTTCAGCCGAGCATGGGCGAAACTGACGGCAAGCACATTTCCCAAGTTGCTGATGGCGACGAACGCTGGAAGAGCTCTGGCACCGGCACTGTTACCAAAGACGTTGCGGAAGAAGACACCTGCAACAATGACTTCGGACGTGGCGAGCTCGGTCTTGGGGATGGCGGCAAAATACGCAACTAGAAACCACGGTTAGTCGACGAGCAAACAAACCCCCCGATTTTGAGTAGTGAAGTGAACCCACCATTTGCAAGGACGTAGAGAATTGTCACGCCGCCGATGGCCAGAGGTGCAGCAATAGCCAGAGTCTTGCGCGGGTTCTTCAACTCGCCCACAACGTAGTTGGCATTCTCCCAGCCCTTGTAACTGTAAATGATGCGAAGCAGAGCTGTCGCGTATCCATAGACACCACCGTTACCGTAGCCCTCTCCCTCTTCGATTCGGAAAGCATTGTCAAAGTTGTGGGGGTTTGGCACGCGACGTCGGCCAGCCAAAGCGGCGAACCCGGAGAAGACGATGAAGAGTAAGACAATGACCTTGAAGACGCCCAAGACATTGAATAGGCGGATACCCCATTTAGGTGTAATGGCGTGGATGCCGACGGCGAAGGTGGCGCCAGCGATACCAATGCCGCGGGCGGTCCAACCATCCGGGGACTCGGATCCCGATGCGAATAAGATGTATCGGCCGAAGGCAAGGGAGTTTCCGGACGAGAAGCCGAGAAGAATCATCTGCGAAGCGAGCACGCAGGTCGCTAGGTATTTGGGGTGCTTGTAGGCGCGCTCGAGGTAATTCTTTTCGCCGCCGGATCGAGGGATGGCGAGGCCGAATTCGAGGAAGACGCTCATACCGCAGAAGGTCAGGACACCACCGATGACCCATAGCATGAGAGCGACTCCGACGGAGCCAGTTGACTGGAAGATACCGGAGGGAGTTGAGAAGACTGAGAAACGGGGTGTGAGTGTTATCCTCATCGTGATCGACCGTCTGTTACTTACTACCGGTACCGATCATCTTATTCAGAATGAGGAAGACCGCGCCAGTAACACCAATCTTGCGCGACTCATCGAAGGCGTAAACTTCCTGCTGTTTGACCACTCCTACTTCTTCCGCCGAAGCATCGTCACGTACGACGTGCCGGTCCTCCCCGACATGATGATCGTATTTGAGTGGTGAACTCATAGCTTGCTGTCGGCGCGGGAAGTGAGATTCGGCCGAGCTCGAGTTCTTGTGATATACACGGCTTTCACGTGCTGGCAAGCACTGCCGGTAGGAGTTCCAATGAAAGAATGTGTAGAGCTCCAAGCTAACACAAGCGGATCGGCAAGCGGGCGGTTCTTCGAGAGGCCGACGGGTGCTATATATGTGTCCCTGCCTCGCAGACAGCTAACGGCTGCAATGCTGCGTTGCTGCGTCGCAACCCAAGACAAACGGTGAAAGTGATCATCCCAGGCTTTGCAGAGGTCCCCGCACGTCATGGCACTGTAACGTCACGCAAGGTTCGACCTGCGAACCGACTCGCTGCCTGGTACCACGAGGGCGGCACGGCGGGACACCAAGGAGTAGACGGGCGAGAGAAAGAGCACCCAAGGTTAATGAAAGCGACCTATCGAGGTTCGAATGTTGATGAGTCTCGGGGGTCACCGTAGCTCTGACGAACCAGATCTTGCGGAAACCACAAAATAGCCTCATGAGCCAACATCCATTGCTCCACTCCAATCAGCCAAATCTTAAAAACTTTGCGTGCTTCCAGAAGGAATCGAGCATGGGTGTTGTCTCGGGAGTATGTGCCGCCGTGGCTGACACTCTTGATACGAGGTGATGGTCGCTATGGCTTCTCAAGCTCCCTGAGCTGCCTCTTGAGGCTGAATCGTCATAAATGCCGGCAAGCTCGCGAGGATAGCTTCAGCCAGTTATCAGTGCTGTTCTACGCCTTGAAAATGCGTATCTGTCTTGGAGTGGCCAGGTCAAGTGAGATGAGCATCGCCGCCAAGAGAGCGTCAGCAGGCTGGGCTGTCTGGGCAGCGGCGAACGCAGCCAGAGGTTCAGTGACTTCAGTCCGAAGGCCTTCCAGTTATGGAAGGTCGTTTGGGGCCTTTGAACACGGCCCTCATTGCAAGTTGCTTGGCAGTCCTCTCAAGTTAGGTGAGAGCCTGGGGCCCCAACTAAGACAGCAGTGGAGTCAATCGAGGGGGGCTGGTCGTTTGCCCTGCGGTGCGGCGTTGTTGCAGTGCCAAGTGAACCGGTGGTGAGAAAGAGGAAAGCCAAAGGGATTTTGTTGATGTCGTGCTCGCTGGGGTGGGATGGCGACAGTCGTTGGACCGAGACGTGCCGATGGGCTGTCTTTTTGTTTTGTGCGCTAAAACCTCGAATACCCGCTGATGTGCAGCGTCCGCCCCAGCTTATAGCAACTCTAAATGAGTGCCTTATTTTCGACAATCGAATTGAGTAGCATCCATGCATTCTGTCGTGCGTGCTTGCTACGTTAGTTGTGACCTCTTCTTTCTCAGCCTGTAAATTCGGGCAGACTTCGTTGTGTACTTAAAGCACTTTAGCAGAGTGCTTAGGATGACTATATCTCAGTGGGTAGGTTTTATCTCGACTTCAGGCAACTCGAGTCACCAACTCGCCTGAGACAACATAAACTAAGGTAACATTCTATCAAGCCAACTACTGGAAGTTGGAGTGACACATGCACTGTCTCATCTTGTATCGCTCAGGATGGTGATCTACTTCTTCCATTCATCCTCTATCTGCAGATGCCCATGATGCCCATCGTATCGTCTTTGGCTCTTACTGTTTCGTCTTGTGCACAGCGTCTAGTCGTTATGGTGGCCCCGCCCAACTAAACTATCCGAACTAGGTGTCGACCTCCCTCATACTTTACGCACGGCAAGGTACTCTCTTCCGCATTGCTTGCTAGCAAGCTCTCTCTCAACTCCTTGCCCCAACCGCGGGCGATTCCAATGCGACGAAAGGTGCCGTCTTTTCCATTTTCAAGCTGCAGCAATAGCATGTAGATGCTTCCGTCATTGCCTGGTCTTGTTCTCGCTGGCATACAGAATAGTTCCGGTCGATGGTTCTGTGTGCTGACCCACTGCTGGTTGTCATCGAGATAAACGTGTGGTTGATATTCTTTCATGACTGAATCAGCGCGGACACTGACCGAAACGCCATTAACAATCATCATCAAGAACTCGTAGTTGTTGCTATGACTGCTGAACAAGGCATCGGGCAGAAGCTCAAGTTTCTTGAGGCACCCCCAGAGCTGTAGCCACCCACCGCTGATCAGGCCTGTTGTATCGCTTGTAACATAGTCGAGATGTAGATCCTGTACCTCGATCAACATCTCCACTGCTTCGACGTCCATGATACCCGGAGTAATGTGTCCATCTACCGCCGCCCAAGACCAACTTGGGGCCCGGTAGACTGATGGCCTAGCTTGCGCCTCGCCGACAGCGACAGACCACATCAGTTGCCGCTCTAGATAGCGGCGCCACATCCCTGCAGCATAGCTATCCTGAAGTAACACTCTCATAGCCTTCGCGACAGCTGAAAGTGCAATCAACTTATCGCCGGGAAATGTCAACTTAGCTCGAGTGTAGGTATTCACAATGTTGCACCAGTAATGGTACTTTGACAGATCGCCGTGATCCCGGGGTCTCCAACCCATTTGGTTGTGACAGAAGCCCTTGAACCGGCTGGGAAATCGAGATAGGTCTATCAGTAAGCCTTCCGGATAAATCTCAGCGTCTTCTTTTTGATGGCACTCCCATAGAATCTGCCGTTGACCAAAGTAAAGCACTCTAGGAGAGAGGAGTCTCTCTTGGAGCACCCAGGCTCTTGTGTTGATGACCGCGCTGGAAACTTCTGTCCTCCAGAAGTTGTAGTCCATCAAGAGAAAGCGATTAGTTTGTGAACCAACAGGAAGCTCTACAATCTGCGGACACAGAGCATCGGGATTGCGGTCGTGAAAGAGGGAGTGGTTCGCGTCTGGGGCATCGGCCGCTGAAATGTTGACAAAGGACCCCGAGTAGATCTTGTCCATGTGCATTGATTCTTGTTTCCAGTCAACGAAGTCATCACCGTGCTGAATAATACACAGGGAGTCGATCCACAGGTACCGAATGTTAAGGCGACGACTCGTTTCCATGGCGTCACGGTACAGGGGAGGGAGGGTGTCGAATGCGATTTCCTGCTGTAGTTGTGCGTAGTTGCTTGTTGTAAGGTTGAAAGACTCCTTCGTACCCCAACAATGACTGAGTGTCGCGTAAGAGCCTTGGATAGGGGTGATGTTCGGTAGGACGAGTCGGCAACTTGAGCTCTCCTGGTCTAGAGGTCCTGTATCTAGGAGGCGGCTGGGGTACCACTGCGTAGTGGTAGATGCATTTGGTTTGGCACCGCATTGTGGGTGTTCAGCTAGACATTCCGTAATCCATCTCTGTGCGACATGAAAGGTTCCTTCGGATCTTGTACTACGGGAGTGGGATTTGATTTGGTATTGAGACGCGTAGACTATGTCTTAAGATCAACATCCGAGGACGCATAATTGAAGTCAAGAGGTGTTATTTCGCAGCAGGTAAACATACATTCTTGTGGAAGAAGCAGAACAGTTTCGCGGAAAAACCCTTTCCTTGGATTTCTCTCTAGATCTACAACTTTGCCTCGGTCAAAAGTGAGTTGTAGTAAAAAGGCGCGGGGATATGCGAGTGCTGCTCCGTCTTCCCAAAACACCGAGGTGAGAGGTGACTCGGTTGCTGGAGTCTTTCGTTTCGTCGGTTCACCATTTGACTGCCTGACCTTGCATCGCTCTTCGATATCCAGAGCGGCCCAAAGCCGATTGCAAATATAACATCCAGCGTCCACAGACGCCGTCAGACTTGTGCTATCGCGGTGATGCGGTATGAGGTGATCCGCGCCGTCTCGCTCGTTACTGGTCAGCGCGTAGTCCTTCCTGAGCTCAAGGACGTGGCGACAACAAGAGCAGATCATCTTGACGTCCTGAGCTCTGCAACTTTGCAAAGTTGCTTCTGATATCAATGTCCCTGCCGAAGACCTGTGGCGAAAATTGTCAAACGGCTGCGGTCTACGGTTCAGCTTTATCGCTTGAGCGCGTCGATAACATGCGAACTGTTTTCTTGTTAAAGATCGTTTGCACCCCTAGGCTGCCACGTTGCATACCGCTCGCCATTGGGTGGCTTCAAGGGCCAGATGGGGGCGCAAAAGACATCAGGCGAATCATGTCCTTAGGATGATTCGAAGCAACATCAGGAGGCAATTCACAGGCATCTCATAGGTTTATCTTCTTCCATTTCCTTCAAGGAATGGGCCCCTGTGGTTGCATGGATAAGCAGCGATTCCTGCAGGAGCCCTCCAACAGCAGCTGAAAGTGAAGCGCCGTGAGCACTAAGAGGCAGGATGCTTTCAGTTCGAACAGCTGTCCCTAAAGTAGTTCTTGAAATGTTTACACTAATACTTGTAATACAGCAAGTCTGTCGTTGTTGACATGACTTGTTGAATGGGGATATCGGCCGCCAAGCCAAGCGTTGGCAGCGTGTCGTTCAGAGACGCTGGCCGGGTATCAGCTTCCCCCGAGGGCAGGTTCCTTCGTCCCGAAAAGTCCAGCATCCGATTTGTGAGATCAGCCTGCTGCCAAAGCCACCAAAGTCTGTCGATCTGCACATGGTGGAGGAAGAATAAGGGATCTGTACTCTCTTTTAGTCTTTAGGTGCCCGAATGACGTAGGTGATGAGGGCTTACCGTTTGGAGATGTCGAAGGGAACAGGTCTCCTCCAACGGCTGAGTGAATCGCACCGTGGGGCCCGTTTTCCAAAGTAGTCGCGAATGTAGAAAAGTTGCTAGAGGTTTTGATGATTCCTGAGATCTTCTCGAGCGAGTACAAGCCGCCTTCGTAAGGGCCGGCATTCACCCCAATACCGTCATTGAAACCGCGATTCAGACAATGCGAGAGCGCTGTCGTTGTATAGTACGATACGGTAAAGTTGGCGAAAGCCCCGTCAATTACGCACATGGTCAACGGGTTCGGTCGCGTTGGTGAGACTAAACCGCCATTCAGGCCGTTTCCTCCGAATCCGATGGTGGTGTCGTTGGAGAAAACGGGGCTCTTAGACATGTCTTCAGAGTCAAGGGTCCAGTCCCAGTAGGTCATTGGGCCTGTGTACCTGCACTCATCTCTCAAGGCTGTCTCATAGATGTGTACAAAGTACCGATGCCAGGGGAGGAATTGAGCGACAAAATGAACTGCGATCGTTGATTAGCATGATGCCAAATGTTGACGCCTGGAAAGAAAGGACGCACTTTCATTGTTGAGCTGCGCATGGACATAGGGGAAGTCGTTGTATCGCGACGATTTGAGACCGATCTTTGACGGCAACCCATCTAAGCACTTTACTGCGCTGATGTAGTCTGCTTTTGCGGCGCTTGACAGGGATCGCCACTCGATTCTTAGCGGCGCATCTTGAACTGGCAGAGCGATGGTCTCGCTGACCAGCGCTGCTAATAACGCAAGATATCCGGCGCTCTTGGTGAAACCCTTCATGATGGCGAGTTGCTAGAGTATCGAATCGGTGTACGAAGCAAAGGATTCAAGTTGACGATTATGTTGCGGTTTTCAACCTACAAGTATCCAAAATACCATGGTCATCTTCTCGTATTACTCGGTTTAACCCCTCTTAGCGCATGCTGCAATTTCGGTACCGCCTTCGTATAAGGGGGGCACCGAGCTTAAATTACGGCTTCGCGGATGATCCCTCCTCCACTTGTCGCTCGTCGCCCTTTCAGATCTTCGTACACGAGTTCTTTCAGATCACCGATGGAGATGCTCTATGCGTTACTCAATACGCTGGAGCTCGAATCCCGGAGCTAAGTACCTACTCAAACAGCAGTTTGAGAGGCCGCAATATCGAATGCGTCTTCCTCCATCCAGGCCGGGTTAGGTTCTAGGGTGCCTTAAGACATCAATTACAGGGTATTTCGAGTCAGCCAGCGCAATCTCTACAACGACTTAGCTTTGCATGAGAACCCGCACCCGAAATTCCCGATAACATCGCTCTTAGGCGAAAGCTTCCTCCGGCAACGCCGTGCGCTCCACTCCGCGTCGGAGAGTCGGGGAGTTAACAGTTGAGTTCGCCGGGTCCGATGAGATAGGAATCACACCACAAAAGACATTCTTGAGCGCGCTTCGAATCAATAAAAGGTATTGGCACAGCATCAATGGATTCAAGTTGGGCCTTGATGCATGGCATCGGTTAGCTGACTTGAGTATGCAAGGATACGAAGCTTTGTAAATCTCGAAAAAAACGACGCTTGCGATCTAAAAAGCTTCAAGAAGAAAAAGAAAAGAGGTTTAAGCTGTCACCATCGCCGAGCTCCGTCGCATTACCAGTACATCGGTGTCATCATCCGCCGAGATTCTAGCAGCATTACGGGAATGAGAGTCTCGATGTCCGCATCCCATTTCGCCCTCCAAAGCCTTTCCAACATCGGTCTTCTTTGCCTTGCCTTCACCAGATCCTATCGAATTGGTCACACTCTGTGCTAGAGTTGACTGAGAGAAGGATTCAACTACTCCATCGGCACCACCCGTGGACGAACATGCCCGGCTCCGCGGTCGCGATGGATTTAAAGTCCTCTCGTCGGCCTCCACATTCGAAGGGTTGGGAGCTCCATCTCCTACATTCGCTCTATTCGAGAGGATGAGGGAGGGGCCCTCCAAAGTGGGATATCTCTCACTGATATCGTCGAAAATGTCCCAGTGATGTGTGAAGTATGTCACCCTGGGAGTTTGCCGGTGACCTTCGTAAACATTTCGACCCCATATTTGGCCGATCAGTTCTCCCGTCTCATCGTGCACTACGGCCGCACCCGAGTCACCGCACACGCCGGGACCCTCGGAATTCCAGTCTTCGACCAGCATGAGATCTCCAAGGTTCATCAAACACCATTCCCGGGTAGGCATATGTGGGTATTGGCGGACTTTGGCAGGTGTCTCGCATACCACAGCATATCGAAATCCACTACTTCGGCCAGTTGTCTGGACAATCTGCAGTTGGGGGCGTTGCACAAAGGCTCCTGGGATTGGGTCCGAACGATCATCAACCTCGATACCCGATGGTGCATATCGAAGACAGTTCTGAACTTCATTTTTCTCGGCTTTGCAAAAGGCCCAATCCGTAACTACTTGCGTAGTTGGCTTGCATTCTCCCTGAACACTTGGCGCAAAATGGCTTAGAGATCTCGATGGACGAGTTGTTCTGTACATCCGTCCTGAGTAAGCCTGAAGCTCCCCAATCTGTAGTGGTCCCTCGTCCTCGTTGCAATCAATGTAGGCTGGGTGGAACAAACCGTAGCGCGGCACCGGGTACGGATTATCCAGCTCTTTCCAATTCTCAATACCATGGAACATATGCCAGTTGACAATCCAGCCATTACAGCCGCCGAGTCTGATAGCTGGTCCAAGGGTTGCGGCGCAATCGCTCTCTTCAAAGCTGACAGAATCCCCAAGCAGTCTCTCGCTGTGCTTGCGACAGTTTCGAGGCTTCTTCAGCTCGTTATCTGCGTCCTGACTCGAAGCGAATGCGCCTGCAGCACTCCCGACATGCCCGATGCAAAACTCGACCGTGATTGTGTCCTGAAGCTCTTTGGATTCCGCAAAATACAACAAGATCTTGCTCCGGATCTTGTTACTGGTGTCTCCAGGAAGCTCCTTGGGCGTCATAACCTCGACAACTCTGGTGCCGCTGTCCTTGCCAGGGTGGTTCCCGAGTACGTAGCCGCAATCATATCCGACAATATCTCTTAGATCTTGATCGAAGTTCGGCGACACTTTCGAATCCCAGATGTCTACGAAGGCTTTTGATGTAGACTTCAGTGCGTTAAAATGCTCACGTACTGCTTTGAGGTCGACAGGCTGTTGCGCCATGACTCCAGCGGGCCTCGATGCTTCCTGTTTCGGTACGATGGATCTTATGATTGCCCCTTGATCTTGAGGAGTCACGATTTCTTGGCGGCTCTCTTCCGTAATGGGCCTGGGGAAGGTGGGCGATAGACCTGGGACGGAGTTCCGCTTTTCCGACTGCCGTGAAAGTGGCGATGGCCTTGGAATCCCAGTATCTGAATGTCGACGTCGGAATAGATACCTGATTTTTGATGTGGCAGAACTCAGAGAAGTTCCGCTGCTGCTCAAGAATGAGCTCAAGGTAGAAGATCGAGTCGGGTTTGGAGATGGGTGGCTGAAAGGCGGAATTTCGAAAACTGGATGACAGAGTTCAGCTGAGTCGACATGTAACGCGTCGTCTAGATGACTTGGCCTTCGCCACGGGGGCGGCTGTGCGAAAGTTTTCGGTGCAATGCTCGCCAGGTTCCAAGCCAAGTATGGGTCTGGAACTTGCGCTTCCGAGTCCTCATCTAAGAATTGATGTTGGGCCTCATGTTGGCTTTTAGGCTCGAACCTTTTCTCCCTAAGGTGTGTCAAATGTTAGCCTGAATGTGGACCCGAACATGCTCCTTGTCGAGTGAACATGGAACCCGAGTGCATGAAAGGACTGGACAACACAAACTTATTTCTTTTGTTCTTCCTTGATTTGCTACGCTTCCGATTCTTTTCATTACGCTTGGATTTCTGCTTGACGCGTTTACAACGAACAATTTCTTTGATCGATGTAAAGGAGGTGAAGTTTTTGAGATGCATCTTGGCCTGTGTATTGGCATCACACTGCAGCTGCTTGTGTTCAAGTCGCTATACGCAATTCTCGAATCGTACAAGGACAGAGCGGAGCGTCGGCGATCATGGCACTTATGCACTCGAGGTCCAGTCTCATAGAGGCCATGTATTTTACGTCGCCCCATCTCAATGCGAATCTGCCTGGTGCTTGCTGCCCTGGAAATGGCGGAAAGCCCCTGGCTGCCTCATGGCGTTGCGGCTGTGCCTCATGGGAAACTGATCTGGAAAAAGCCCATCTGCGGCCTGAAGCGGTATGGTGTAAGCTGGTGTAAGACAAGAGGAGCTCGACTAGGCCCAAAACCTCTAGCTGCAGAAGGTTGCTGTCTCGGGCACAGTCAACAGGCAGATTGAGGCAACCTGTCAGCTTTTCGGTGACCACACGGAGGTTTGATTGGCTGCGTATGGAACCGAAATCCTCCACCCTTGTCCTTGGTTGAAAATGCTTCTTCTTCTTCTTATTTTCGTGTGTCTTGTTGAGCATTGCTAAGTCAAAGAGCCTCATTCTCACCGTGACCAATGCGTTGTTTGGCATCTAGAACCAGTCCGCGACATCCAGATTTCTATGTAGGTACTTACACTTTCTGTCTAGTAGATGACTCAAGTTAGGATTCCTTCCAAGTCGAATGACTGTAGGCGATGTTTTGATACATTCAAATCCGAGTTGGCCATGGATATGAGGTATTGGCTCTTTGGGAGACGCTCCCGTGCAAAATCCGGATCGCAACCTTTGCAAGCCCCGCGCTCAATGAACAGTGATTCACTGGTCTGAGTTTCGACGACTAAGCAGATGCCTTCAAAAGGCGGGAAAACATTCCACCACTTGCAAAATTTGTATTTTTCCAAACCTCAGGGTGTTCTTTTGGCGATCAGCAGGCCAAACATTATCACAAACACGCGTTTAGAACATCAGAACCAAGTGTCTCGAAATCGTCAAATTGTCGAACATCAGCTATCACGCGACATTCACATAAAACCGCACTCTCGAAGAATCGGAAACCAAGTCACAATGATGAAAATCCGTGGCATCCTTCTCTCGGCCATGGTAGTCACTACGATTGCGCAGCAGGCCAACTTTGGATACGAGCGGCTTGGAGAGCGTCGCGATGTTCTTCCCCTCCTCCCCGGGATGGGTTTCGTAGGTTTCGCATATGTGCCTTTCGGAAACAGCTGCTAATTAGTCGAGGCAGATTCACACATTTCTGTATGACACGATGAACATCATTCAGGAATTCGGGCACTGGCTAGCGGCCAACACCACTGCCTTGGAGTGAATGAGGCCTGAATAGGCTGGAGATGGCGAGAGTCGAAGGGGAGATGGAGAGGAAGTAGGAAGCATGAGGCAGATCCTTACTTAAACAAGAGTACAAGACTCGTTTCAACGGAATGGCATCGTGGCTCACAAGCTGCGCGCTGCCCGCCAACCAATCCCCGTGAATATCCCGCTGCGATCAAGTATGTGAGCACTTACGTGAGGTAAGAAGTAAACATTTATTTATAGCTCTAGCCACAGCTTGTACTGTATAACCCGTGTATCCAAAACTCCATTGCACCGTTACCAGCACGAGAACAAGACCATCTCAGTGTCAAGGCTAATTCCGACTAATTCAAGCCTCAACCTCCTCCTCAACCTCAGCATCCTCGGCATTCTCGGCATTCTCGACCGCGCGGCGACCGTTCTTTCTATTCTTCGAGTTCTTGGAGTTCTTAGAATCCTTGGAGGCTTGCGAGTGATACGAGGCAAGCGAGTCCTTGCAGCCTTTTCCACAGTTACCAGCGTCCTGCTTCTTGTGGTTGGCGTCGTGCTTCGCGACATCAGCCGGAGTGTTGGGGCCCCTGGCCTCTCTGGTCTCAATGTTGGTCTCAATGTCGAGAGCCTCAACTGGGGCAGCATCCTGGAGTCCCTCTCCGGCGAGCGCAGTCAGATCATGAGGCTGGGCGACGGGCATGGCCGTGACGATACCGGTAGCGCTCAAGGTGGCAAGGAAGAGAGTGCTGAAGAACGCATTTTGGCGGTTGATGATTTAGATTTGAAGAAATTTGAATTGGTGTTCTTTCTGTAAGAGACGAATTGATAGAGTGTTTGAGCAAGCTGGAGAAGCTGAAGTTTGATACAAGAGATGGCAGTCAAGTGAGCTGATGAACAAAGAGAAAGCCGTTGAGGAAGGGAATGGCTTCATCCTTTTATAATCGACGCCAGCCACATTTCATCCCGCAGTGACACCTGCCCTCTCAAGCCTGAAGCGATGAATGATCCACGATCTGCCGACTCATGAGAGTTCATGTTGCCGTGCTACATCCTCAGTCGGACGATAGCCCCACTCCTCGATCAACAGCCTCATGCAAGCATAGCAAACGGACGGCCATCATTAGATGACGCGGTTATCGACTTAGACTTTGGGGCTGTTAGTCTACCCCCTTTGTATTGCGACTAGTTGTTAAGGTTAAAATAGTGTTGTGGTAAGGTCTGGAGCCAAGATCCATAGAACAAAACGGTTTTCGTGAAACGAAGAACTCTAAACGCTAACATGGACTGTTTACTTGTAAAGGCCACTTACACTCGGCGTAAGTCAGTAAACAGAGGAGCAGTCTCGGAACGCCGAGCCGATGACTCGCGCCTTTTTCCCGCCTGTGCGAGTGATCGCTCGGTTGATCTGCAAACCCCCTCAATTGGCAAGTGTCCGGACGAGGGATCTCCCTGCATGGGCGTTTTGTCGTGGTGCCAAACAACCTTTCGGCACAACCTTATTCTGCACCTCAAGCCAGCCTTTAGGATAGAATCTATCTGACTCTTCTAACCAAGTTGAAATCAACTCTACGATAGAGGTCTCGGTCTCGCCTCATTAATATCAGATTGTTCTGTCCTTGCGAGGTCTGGCCGAATGGAGGATCTAGTTCATAGCGCTGTGACTAGTCCAATGTTCATTAGCATCACTCTCTTCAGCTAGAGCAGGGCCCCCACGCCCGCCATTCAGGTCGATCAGGAGCGCTTGCGAAACTTGCTCATATCAGAGCTTCTTGTTGAAAGTACGCCAGTGTCATCTCTTCCCAGTCATGGCACTTGAGATGCCAAGTTGGGGGCCAGGAGTCCATGATCTGTGAACTCCCTGCCGATCTAGGGCGCCGACACGTCGACAGCGTCGGTGCTAACATGGGTCCAAATACTCCTCTCGCTTTGAAGACCATCCTTTGCTATAATACGAATCCGATATACCGGTGCCGGCTTTACGATTTGAAATCCGTAAAGTCGTGTAGGTAGTCGAACAAGCATCGTGCCTACTTCGATAGCTGCAAGGTACGAACTTTACTCGGCGAAAGGTTTTAGCCTCAACCAGTTCTGTGGGATCACTACACCGCGAAAGAGGCATTTAGGTACGTGCAAGCCGTCGCACCATCTGTATTGTCTGCTAACTCAAGGACAGAGTTCAAGGGACTGGACAAGCTTGAATTCTTGCTGCTGTTCAGACGGCCGCACCATTGAACCTTACAAGCTGCGCCCCAAAAGATCCGAGGGACGTAAGGCTCAAGATGGCCTGGCACAAAAGAGACCATACTCATATGACAGCTATTGGCTTGCTAGTCCATATCCCTCGGATTCTATACGAGTATGGGTGCCTACCAAATGTTATCGCCAGGAAACATAGGAGGCCAAGAAGTCCAGAGGCCCATACCTAGTTGAACCAGTGCTGGAAACAAACCCCGCGTACTCTTTACAAACGGAAAAAAGAGCGCACGGCACGCATTACGCCAAGTCCATGACGGGCGCGTTGTCAATCCCATAGTTACGTGTCGCGCGGTGCCATGAAACACGAGAGCGAGCGAGACCGAGCAGACTTGCGAGGCAGAACGACAGCCTTGGCGGGTAAACAGGTCGTAGATACCGAGGGTCGGGCAGTGTGGCCGCTGGATGGACTATGAGCGGCTGGGAATACCTTGTCACGTTCGGCGTCGAGCGAGCCACGATGTCTCGAGGAGCACAGATGACATGAGAAACTTTAAACACAAGGTCTTCGAGGTGCCGAGTCGAGTGGGAGATGCGGTAGGTGATAGGCGCACGGAGACTTTTTCTCGGCCGGCTTTGGTAGGGCGTACACGTGGCCGAGTTTTACCGGGGAGTGTAGCGGTGCCGAGCTTTGATGCCTCGGGGTTAATTATTCGACGAGCCCGATTAGAGATGTTGAGAAGACACTCCGTGGCCGATT